GGCCCCAGCAGGCACCCTGGCCAGGAGAGGTTGGTTTCTATTTCCAGCTCACCAGCATAATGCTGTGTCACAGGCAGGGAAAGGAAGGTAAGGTGCCTTCCCAGCCACCCGGGAACTGTGAATTGATGAACCATGTCTCTGCAGGCACACTGAACTCAGCCCTTAAGACACAACTATGAGCCAAACAGAGCTTTCGCAAATGCATCAGACCTTTCCTAAACTGCCAGATGTGCCCAGTTCTCTTATTTCTAATTTTTTTTTTTTGTAGTAGCATGGGGAGTGCATTGCAATATAAGGAAGATATAAAAAAGGAGATCCTATCTCCTTTGACAACATGGATTGGCCTGGGAAACCTCACACTAAGTGAAAGGAGGCAGGCACAGAAAGACAAAACCCACGTGATCTCGCTCACCTATGGATCTTCACAGAAGCTGAGATATGCAGAGTGGTGGTCACTGAGGGCTGGGGAAGGGGAGCTGGGCAGGGGTGAGGGGGTGAAGGTGAGTCCTCTGGGGACTCACTGATGACATCTTGTGATGAGACAGGGAATCTTGTTTTGTCTTCCTGTTTATGTGATGTCATCTAAGAATTCATGGCCAGAGTCCCTAGGAACTGATACCTCCTTCCATCCTAAAGAGAGGGTGCCTATACCAGGGGCTAGACTGGTCCTGTAATCAACCATTCAGCAAATACTGCAGCTCCACCCTGTGCTGGGTGGTATGCTGTGGCCTGGGCAGGAATCAGAAGAAAGCAAATTCTTGTTCTAATGTAGCTTACCACGCTGTCACCAACCCCCAGATTGCACAACTTGTCATTGCTATAGAATCTGCTCTCACTGGGAGGTTCTGTGATATAGTTTGAAAATGCCAGCACACATGTGATTGCAAGCTTGGTTGATGTGGCCCTGAGCTGTGGCCCAGCACTGTAGTGGGTCTGTGAAGACGGACGCTCAGCCAGGCTCTGCGGTGGTGTTTGTTGTGAGGTATCTACCCGAAAAGGCTGGATCAAGCCATTAGAAACTCTTTATTAGCCCTGAGACCTCAGGGGTCATTCTTATCTCCAGGAGACCAGGACCGTTCATGAGGGAGTCCCTCTGGCCAACTGGATTTCCCATGCCAATCAGCTGTGGCCAGGATGGCTCCTGGCTGTGGTGGTACCAAGATCTCCAGGGAAGGAGTGTGTCACCTATTCCACTTGCTCTGTCTCATACGCACTTAGTGTAAGAGAGTGAGCCACAAAAGCAGCCCATTCGAGCCTCTAGTAACATCCTGGAACCCACATGCAACAATAGTCCACTTCCCTTCCAACTTGGGACCACACAGTCACTGACTTTTCCCGAGAATCTTGCATCCACGCCACGCCACGCCTGAGTAGCCTCATTTCTTCAATCATCTCATTTAAGTCTCTTATCAGGGAACCAGTTTGAAGTGTTCAGTCTGTAGTCAGGATTCTTTCATGTAGTCAATCAACAAACACTTGCTAACTATCTCTCGCATTCTAGTCTAGAGGACACAGGGATGACTGGGTTTCTCTGTGTAGCTTTGCGCCTTTCCTGGAACTCACTTTGTAGACCAGGCTGGCCTCAGACTCACAGAGATCTGCCTGCCTCTGCCTCCGGAGTGCTGGGATTAAAGGCGTGCACCACCACCGCCCAGCATGGTGTCTCTTCACAGCAATGAAAACCCCAAACGAAACAGTCCCCTTTGCTCAGAGTGACAGAGAACAGACAGAAGTAAATCCCGGAAGATGACGTTTCCTTGGGGATATTTATTAACTAGTTTGGCTCACTCCAGGATGACATGCTTGACCCCTCTAGGTCTGCATTTCTCATTAATTTTTCCTGTAGCTGAACTTTATGATGATATCAAGACCATCTGTGGAGATTTGTTGGGCTTACATCAAAATCCTGCAGTGCAGCATCCATACTGGAATCAATAAATGATTGACACACGGCACTGCTCATAGGGAGGTGGTACGGCATCCTGGCTGGCGTGACTGGGCAGACAGAGCCCAGGAGTCCATTGCTTCCTCTGCAATGCCCCTGCTTGTACAATCGGCTCTGCCCACCCATCCTTCTGCTAGTGCAACCCCTAAAATGGCCTCCTCTGTCCGTGGGCCCCTTTGTCCAGTGAGTGTCCCTTCCAGGACTCTGCCAAGCACCGGACATAGCTGCAGCCCTTTCCCGGAGCTGAGGGTTCTGCTTCCTCCACAGCTCTTCCTTCAGTCAGCGATCCTGGCAAACTGATCCTCTGGGCTGTGGCTGTGGCAGAGACAGAAGCAATGTCTCCCCTGGGGATCCCATCTGCAAATGCTGCTCCACACACAGACTCGGGACAGGACAGCAAAGCAGTTTCTGGGCCCCCTGGGGAGCTCTGAGTCACTTCATGATGAGTGCTGCAGGGCCTCTGGAGGCTGGGCAAAGAGGGAAACCATACCCAGAGAAAAATCTGGAAGAGTCAGACTTGAGGTCCAAGGCAATGGCGCACAAACAATGGAGAAAGGAAATCCAGCGTGGGGTGAGGCTGTACGTATTGGGGTTGAGGCTGGCTGTAAGGGGCAGGAAACCCGAAGAACCACCGAGTCTTCAATATAGTGAATTTCTCCCTCATGGAAACTCAAGGATGCAGGGTCGTTACGGAGCTTTGTGAGCAGGAGAAACCCAAGTTCCCTTTGTTCTGTAGCTGCCAGGAGAGCGTTTAGCTCATGGCTCCCCACACCTTTATTCCACGCAGCAGATAGGGAGAAGTAAAATAATGAATTTCTGTGAGGAAAGTTCTCACAAGATGCACGTGGCTCTTCTGCATGTATCTCTCTCTGAGCTAGAAGTCAGTCACAGCTCCGAGTGGCATAGAGTGGAAGCCGGAAACCAGTGACCGCATGTTCAAGTGTAAACTTCCCACTAGCTTCTAAAAATAAGTTGAGTAAATTATCTGCTGTGAAATGGTCTTTATGCTGTGAATATGTGTGGTTCCTATTGGTTAATAAATAAAGCTGCTTTGGCCTATGGTAAGGCAGCTTAGAGGCATGCAGGAAATCCAAGCAGAGATACAAAGAGAAGGGCAGAGTCAGGGCAGACGCCATCCAGCTGCCCAAGGAACAAGATGCCAGCAGACTGGTGGCAACACCATATGGCAATATATAGATTAATAGAAATGGGTTAATTTAAGATGTCAGAGCTAGTTAGCAATAAGCCTGAGCCATAGACCAAACAGTTTGTAATTAATATAAGTCTCTGAGTGTCTTTATAAAAATGGCTGCTGCCCAGGCAGGACCTGGCAGTACCAAGAAACTCAGTCTACGATTATCCAAGTTTAAGATCCCAGAGATGGAGCACCTTCAGGGTGATGAAACAGTGGAGAATACACCGAACAACAAACAGGCTGCTAAAAGGCTGTAAAGGTGAAGGTCACTGCTGTACTTCACTGCCAAGGGACAGTGAGGCTTATCTGCTGGGTAGTTATAAACAACAAAGAAGATGGACACTCAAAGGTTGAGCAAAGGGTCAGGATGGACAGGAAGACTCCAAGGTGAAATCAAAGCTGTAAACCTTTAAGCCACAATTTAACCACAGACTCAAGTTTATTCTATGATTATTTCAACTGTAGAAAACAGAAA